CCCCCCCCCGTATCCCCTGCCATGGAACGGTGGAGGGACAGTGCAGGAGAGGAAGAACCTTGATGAGATCGATTGATTCAGTGACTGGAGTAGTGGGGATAGGTGTGTCAGAGACAGTAAGATTGGCACAGGATAGAGCAGGGTTTTGGGCTGTTGTACATAAGGTTGCTATGAGTCATAGGTGGCGGTGACTTGATGGCACATAACAACAACAACCACCTGTCATTAGCATTGTTGTTGTTGTTGTTGTGTACCATAGGGTCAGAATTGTTCCATAGCTGACCTTCCAGTGGGTTTTCAGCATTAATCACACAGGAGATTGCCCATCCTTCTTTTGTGAAAGAGCTGGTGGCCTCAAGCCTAGTGCCTTTGGAATTGTAGTGCAGCTTCTTGCCACTAGACCACCAGAGCTCCCTGTCATTAGCATACCAGATTGTAAATTTAAATTTATCTAAACCCAAAACCTCTATAGACCCTACAAAGGAGGGGCTTCCACTGGCAAATATCCTAAATCAGAGGTATCCTGGTCACTTGAGTTTTACCTGTCTGGAATCCTAGGAGCTTATCATAGATGTTAAAAGGACATAATCACACTTTCATTCCTATGGGGAAATGTGACAGCTATTGATGAAGCTGGCATAAATCAAGGGGGTAAAGGCAGGCCCACAGGCCAAATTGGAGCCTAAGAAAGTTACATTGAACTGTTGTTGCTTTTTTTAGATCTTAAAAAAGTTATCATTGTTACTGATAAACTCAAGACAACCAGTCTTTGGTCTTGGTAATTCAAAAGGAAATATTAATTTTATCTTTCTGGCCAAGAAGAATTCAGCAGAAAGTTAAGCCATGAAATGGAAAGTTAACCAGCCTTTGAGAAAATAGACTTACCTGGACAGTTAATGTATAATGGCAAGTTAAAGGAGAATCAGACAAATTGATATATTGTCATTAGGTAGAAAAATGATTGATCAGTTGAAATTCTAGTTATCTCTCTGTTGAGCACAATGTTATTATGTACAAGGGATCATGCTTGGGACCACTGGCCACTGCATGCTCATTGCCTCTAGGTGAAGTATTTCTCCTGTTTTTTAGATGTGCTTCACCATAGAGAAGGTGCGTATCTCAGATACAAAGCAATGTATCTGAAAGTATGAGTAGAATAAAGCTAGAACCTTCATCTATAAAATTGTGCGTGAAGAGAGAGTCTATTTACATTTCACTGAGCTGTGGCCTTACATGTGCACTGGGATTTTCACAGCATTCCTGGTCATTACTTACTTCATGCTAATAATATTTTCTTTTCCTTAGTCCCAGTGACTGAAAATGTCTCCAAGCAGAAAAAAGACAAACTTGCCCTGTTTGAGAACTATTGGATTAATGTATGGAAGGAGTAACCCAAAAGAGTATAGTATCTTCAAGAAATATTAACGACAAGGAAAATTAGCATAAAGCAAAATAAACCACCAAATGAGTTATTTGAGGACTAAGTTACCAAAAAATTCAAATACTCAAATGAATTACATGTAAATGCTTAAATAATATGATTAGTATACCTGGCCTCCAAGGACTCCCACAGCAGTGCTTCTCACATTGTGCCCCCCTAAAGTAGAGCATAGGAGCCTGGAAATTTGTTAGAAATACACAATCTGTGCTTCCAATCCAGACATGTGGAATCAGAAGCTTTGGGGTGGAGCCTTGGACTCTGTTTTACAGAAGGGGTTGAGTGGTTCTGAAGCCTGTGATCCAGTGTTCGAGGACTTAAGGTTCTTAGAGTCTGATAACGGTCCTCATTGCCACCGTAGAAGCTGTCTTCATGTTATTGTTTTCTGTTAGGGGCAAAAACTGCTCAAAATTTCTTCTGCTTCAAGAACTCACCTACAATTTCCTTACCTAATATACTTAAGACTTCCAAAACCTAGAGATCTGTCTCTGAACCAATTAGAAGCACGGCCTATCACTCTGAACTATCTGCACAATTTAGTGGCCTAAGGCTTTGTATGAAGGAACATTCTTGATTGGCATAAGTTGCTCATTTATAACAAATTAGGACTTTATCTCCTTCACCCTCAAAAAGGAATACAAGTTAAGACACATTTTGCATGTTTATGTACATTTTTTATATATGTAAAACATTAGTATGCAGCAGCTATGGGCTTTGTATTTATTATAATTTTCATTTGCCTAAATATGGTACAGTTTTATAAACTTACAAATTATTAGAATAATAAACACTTTACTGTTTCTGTAGAGATCTTTTATACTAACACAAATTGATCCCAAGAACTCTACTTAATGTGACCTCCTTGGAGTGGTAGATTCACATCAGCCTACTCACCAGGGTGTCCCTCTCCCACAGACTCAGATGTGAACATGAAGGCACCCTCTTCACTCAGAGAGTGGTCATATAAGCCATCCACAGGTCCATTCATCCCTTTACACCACTCCAGGCAGCTTCGTCAAAGGAGTAATTCTTCTGCTGTGAATTTGCTGGAGTTCTTCTTTAAACCCAGCAGCCTTGTTGGCAGAAACACAGGTATGACTCTTGCTTGGCTGCCAGAAACACGTAAGAGTGATGTAGGAAGGGGAGGAAAGGAGAAATGGACTGAATACAAGAGGTCATTTTTCCTCAACCAGCTAGAATTTGCTCCAGAGTGGCTCTGACATGGAAAATTGAAAGCACCTGAATAATTATCTATGGAAAGTAGAGAAATCCATTCCTGGAAAAGTGAGACATCTTACCTTGAAAAATGCCACTGGTCTCTTGAGCTCTGATATAATATGTAGAGAAGATTGAACAGATCCCATAGAACTGGAGCTCCTGTGACCCTTGCTTCAACTGTGTTGCACATTATCATCATATTTCAGCAATAACATCTCCCTTGAAGGATGGGGTTCCATATATGCAAGGATACTCTTTCCCAGAGATTTGACAGGGGTCAGAATTGTAGCATACTATGTATTCTGCTTTGGGGTTCTCTTTCTTCTCCCACCTTGGTCAGCACAGATTTATCCATGTTCTACCTTTCAGAGCAGGAACACACGACTGTGTTTTGAGTAACTTTAATAGTAAACAACGATCTGTTTTAGATGAATAGCTTTGAGTCTATATTTTCCTGCTAGAATAATTCACATTAAATTGTCAACTTCTCAAAGATGTTGGTAGTCATATTAATAAATAAGATGTTACAGTTCATTGGAGAGGTTACATAGATTCTTATCAGAGTCCATTTGTCCAAAAGCTTCCAAATAATAGAATAAATATGTACTTAGTAAATATTCTACTTACATAATCTTAAGCGATACTAGCTTTAATCAAGGAAATATGTATGCAGGGTTGTATCTTTACTAGCTAAAATCTTTATAATGACAGTTTTATACCCTTTATTCTCGTCCACTCTATGACCTCAAAACTCAAAGAATTGGCATAAACAAGAATGGTACTAAGTGGAGAAACTGGAATGTAATAAAAAGTAATCAGCCAAAACTCCGGACATCAAAAACTTTGAGAAACTAAAAGCAGAAATCAGAAGTTCCAATTAACAATTTTGGTGACTAAATACCACTCAGTGCTTATAATATGAGCATTTTTATTTGAAATTTTATTGTAAGTTTATAAAGAACTTTGATTTCCATTCTTTGATTGTTGCTCATTTTCCTCCATGTCTCCTCCTCCGTTCACTTTTTACCTTTGGAAAAAATGTCTTTCATTGTTATACAGTTCTGCCCTCCCCCCAGACTACTTTACTATACAGCTCTTATTCTGGACTCTTGCCATACCAAAAACACCTAATCATATATTCCTTCTTTACAGTTCTCTCTCTCGTCTGTTTCAATGTCGTGTACAGTATTTATCCCCTCTTGTCTTAGTTTCCCCCTAACTTTTCTGTCAGTCATGTTTTGTAACAGTGGCATTATACAGTATTTGTCTTTTTTGTGATTGAGATATTTCACTCTGTATAATGTTTTCCAGGGTAACCCACTTTGTATAATATTTCATGAGTTCTTTGTTTTTCAGTGCTGTATTATATTCCATTGTGTGGAATATAATACAGCTTCTCTATCCATTCGTTTGTTGATGGACACATGAGTTGTTTCCAGTTCTTTACTATTGTGAACAAAGCAGCAATAAACATGAGCGTGCATCTATCTGTTTGGATGGCAATTCTGGTTTCTTTAGGATATATTCCCATGAGTAGAATTGCTAGGTCAATGGTATTTCTATTTACAACTATTTGAGAAAGTTCCATACTGCCTTTCATAGTGGTTGCACCATTTTACACTGCCACCAAGAGTGAATAAGCATTCCAGTTTCTCCAGAACCTTGCTAGCATTTGTTGTTTGCTGCTCTGTTGAATTTTACTATTCTTACTGGGGTGAGATGATATCTCATAATTGTTTTGATTTGCATCTCTCTTAGATCTAGGTATTTTGAACATTTCTTCATGTTTTTGCATTTTTTTAAACTTTGGGACAAATTGTAGTATTAAAAATACTGAGTATTGCTAATTAGTCAATGGTGCCAGTTTGACCCTCCAGAAAATTAAAGCTAAAAGTACATGACCTGTTCTGGGATAAAGTAAGGAGTCTTATATATACTTATCTGAGACATTTATAGAGAGTGAACTAGAGTACTTAGGCACAATATTGCTGAAAGTTCCAAGAAGAAGGTCACAGGAGGGATAAACAAACTAGATATCAAATAGAGACTTTAGACAGCACAGATTTGTCAATATACAAGTTCCTCCTGTTTACACTTAAAGTATTTCAACATTGCTATCCATTTGTAAATTTCATCTGTGTACATTACTTTAAAACCTGGAGACAATATAAGCTAATATTTAATTTGAACTGTAGACTTAGATCACTCTAGCAAGTAGGGTGATATTATAGTCATTATGTTCTAATCTTCAAGATGAGCTTTAAAATAAGGACATTCCAGTTTTCTTAGAGCTCAAAAGAAGTCAGAAAACTAAGGGCCCTATCTTCCTTTTACATTTTAAAACCGCGAAAAGTATCATGGGATGGGGAGTGTGCAGCATAGATACCTTCTGGACAGAGGAATCATACTTTCAAAAACTTGTGCTAGATGTGTCTGTAGTTTGGGCATAAACTCAGAGAGAAGGGATAATCAGGAAAGCAACTAGTCCTGTACCTTCTTATGTATCCTAGACCACTTTATAGCCTTTCACTAAATAAATGATGTGAAGCAGCATGCAGAGCTCAAGCTTTAAAGCTAGAGCCCTAGTTTTGCTATAATATGGCCTGGGAACCTGCTCAGCTTCTCTGGATGCTGCTTCCTTTGGCAAAGCAGATTACATTACCTACATCCCAGCTTTGTTGCGAGAACTACATAAGATCATCTAAGTATGATAAATATAAAGTATGCCATAGACTTCTAAGAAAACAGACAGATTCATCCTGGAGAGGGTTAAAACGGGCTGCTCCTTGGAGGCTAGGATTCTGAGGCTTCGTCTGACATATTTTGGACATGTTTTAAGGAGAGACCAGTCCTTGGAGAGGGACATCATGCTTGGGAGGGTGGAGGGACAGCGCAGGAGGGGAAGGCCCTCTGGGAGATGGATTGATTCGGTGACTGGGGCAATCGGGATGAGTGTGTTGGAGACAGTGAGATTGGCACAGAACAGAACAGAGTTTAGAGCTGTTGAGTCGCAATGAGTCGCAAGCGACTCGATTGGCACATAACAACAACAACATCAGCAAACAATACAAGTTAATGAATATTAGTTACTATTATTGCTAAAGACCTTCCAGTCTTCAATATAGATTAAGGCTCAATATCAAGAAGACAAAGAATCTCACCACTGGACCCACTGGCAGCATGAGGATGGATGCTGAAGAGATGAAGATTGTTCACAGCTTTAGTCTGCTTGGCTCCACAGTCAACACTCTTGGCACCAACAGCCAGGAAATTAAAAAACTTATTGCAGTGGGAAAGTCTGCTGTTAGGGACATCTCCAAGGTACTGAGGAGCAATGGTATCTCTCTGGAGACTAAGGTGCACCTGATACAAGCCATGGTCTTTGCAATAATTTGCTATCCATCAGAGAGCTGTACAATGACTAGGGAGAAAGAGAATTGATGCCTTTGAGCTGTGGTGCTGGAGAAGAATATTGAATGTACCATGGACTGCTAAGAGAATGAACAGGTTCTTCCTGTAGAGGGTTAGCCCAGGCTGCTCCTTGGAGGCAAGGATTCTGAGGCTTAGTCTGGCGTACTTTGGACATTTTGCAAGGAGGAACCAGTCCTTGGAGAGGGATGTCATGCTTGGGATGGTGGAGGGACAGCGCAGGAGGGGAAGACCCTCTATGAGGTGGATTGATTTAGTAACTGGGGTAATCGGTGTGTGTGTGTGTGTGTGTGTGTGTGTGTGTGAGAGAGAGAGAGAGAGAGAGACAGTGAGATTGGCAGAGGACAGAATAAGGTTTAGGGTTGTACATAGGGTTGCAATGAGTCACATGCGACTCGACGGCATGTATGTATATATAAACTTCATCTTACATATCTTGAGCATGTGCCAGGAGGGATCAGACCGTGGAAAAAGATGTCATGTTAAGGAAGGTGGAGGGTCGTAGAAAGAGAAAAAGACTACAGCAAGATGTATTGACATAGTGACTTTAACTATGGGCTCCAGCATGTCAGGATTGTGAGGCTGGTGAAGGATAAAGCAAGGTTCAGATCTGTTGTCAATATAAGTCATCGTTGACTTGATGGTATCTAACAGCAACAACATGAGCCTATGTATGATTTAAGTTTCAATACAAATAGATCAAATATGTATATACATATATTTAATTCTGTATTTAATTTTCCCCATGAAATAGAATGTTTCTTTTTCCTGTATGTTTCTTATGTTTTCTCTATATACAGATAAATCTGGTGAATAGCACTTGTATAATACTTGACATTAAGGATATATCATAAATTACTTAACTATCACCTAATGTTTCCACATTCTCAAAATCTCCAATTTTAACATCACAATGATGATCCAGTGAAGATGTTTAGGTAATACTGTCTAAACTTTAACAAAAAAAAATAACATACGATTTCTTAAAAAATCTTTTTCTAGGGCCAAAACATTCGCAACAACAAAAAACAAAATACCTAGAAGTTCCAATTTGTCCCCAGATTTTTACTAGATTTTTGAAAAAAATACACACACACACACACACACACACATATATGTGATTTTATATATATATAAACTCAGAAGGATTTCATATCCTTAACTTCTCATCATAAGAGAAAATTAGAGTTCCTTTTATGTACAGACTGTGCTGTTCTCCCTTATGCAAGAATTTTCCTGATGTTCCCAGTCCCACTAATGACCTAAGTCAAACTCAAGGTGATCTCACTTTCATGTACAACTTTCAAGTCAGAGTTTCACTAACAGGCTTCTGAGGAAACTTGGCTAGAAAGTAAGTTTGACTTTCAATCACCTTTTCTATGTTAGATCTCTGAATTTAAAATATCATTT